TATCGTGGGTGTGGGTGGCACAGGCACACATCCAAAGTCCTTTTGGGGGTATACTCTGTTCTAGGACCGATTTCTTCTAATGTTTGCAAATGGCCTATAGAGATGTAAAACATTACAAAGTCCTTTCTTGGGAGTGACGTTTGAGCCACACTGCAATAACCAAATAAAGACTATTTATGTTTATATCCATATATAAACCAACACAGAAAAAATTCAAATATAAATTGTTTGAAGATCAACCTCAATTATGTATGTGGGGTCTGAAATTTGCAGTATCCCGACTGCATACTAAGAAAATTTTAAACATTAAGAAAGTGTTAGATGCCTTTGATGAGTTGCTGATACTGTAGCTTTTGAATACTATCAGCTTGCCACCAGTATTTCCTCATTGAGACACTTTCTCGGTATATGAGCAACCGAAATAGGCCTCATTGGCGACTAGTCATATAGAAGTTTGTTGAAGGAATTTATGTCAATTTAATGTAATTTAATGAATTGTTTAATTGTTGACTGTTGAGTCTCCTGTTGTAAGTTGTTATTGGAATTTGTTATTTGTAACAGTGAGAGTTATGGAAACTTATTTGGATGGGACGGGGTATAATAATTAAGGTACCGATAACCAGTATCCCGAAGTTGGATACCGGATTGGGTCATTCCAGAAAATGTCCATACCTCCCCCACGGAGGAAATTGGGAATTAACCCCCCTACCCCTTTCAGATGTCCTAATACACTTACTACTTCTCCCCTCCCCCTCCGGATGGCAGAAATTTCCTCTGTGGGGGGAGTGGATCTTTTCAATTTCTGAAACAATCCATTCTCCGGGGGGATACTAATTAATTAATATAAATTTCAGACCCTGTAATACTATACAAATTATTGCATAATTGCAAAGCAAATTTTGAAATCTTGGGTCCCTGAAATGGGATTTCCAGCATTTGGGGGGAAGATTATGCGAAATTCCGTAAGAAGATATATAGTAAAGTTCATGAAACACATGATTTTTCATGACTATGCCCAGGTATAAGGGAATTATACATTGAAAAAGAAAAACACTACCTTTGTTTTCATTGAAAAAATCTGGAAAAATTAAGCCAAGCATGTTCTGCACCAGAAGGTTGTTAACCCTTTACGTAACCTGAAGTTCAGGCCCTAATCACAGAATAGGGCCTGACACAAAACCTGTCTAAACTGTGGGATTCCCGTCCATCTGGTGGATGGGAAATCTGATTGGTTGATCAGCATCATGAAAGATTTTGTTTGGTTGCGAGTTCACATAAACAACAGTTTTAAGAATAGCTCGGTCAAGGGCTCAATGATTTCTTCGAATTTCTTTTCTTTTATGCATTATGGCAGAAAATAAATCAAACAAACAGTGTTTTGAAAGGGCTTTATCAAAATCTTTGACGAATTTTAGACACACGACGCTGAAAGAACAGCCAAACTAGTCATGTATTCGAAAGCTTGTTGTTGACAGCCAATATGTTCTGCCAACTGGTTTCGCCGGCAAAAGTCTTATTTTTAATATCAGGTCCTACCAGCGTTGTTTTCTGAGCTACATCGCCTTCTTCGTGGTACGATTGAGAATTTCATTGTTGCTATTATTAGCCGGTTAGAGTATATTCGCGTCCTTGCCGTTGAGACCTTGAGAAAGCTTGGCGGTCAAGCCGTGCACAGAACTGACTAATTAAATCTTTGTTTGCTGTTTGGTTAAATAGAGAAACTGACTCTTAATTATATAAAAGTACCTTGAATTTTTAAGTTTGATTAAAAAGCAAAATGCACACTTTGTGGACATGTTCATGAGAATATAATTTTTTTTGTGTAACGAAATCTACAACACTTGCCAGTCATATTGCATGCTGTGTCTAAAAATAACATATGGGTGTCCCACGGTCTAGACAGGTTTTGTGTCAGGCCCTATTTAAAATTAAGGCCTGAACTTCAGGTTACCCTTTAAGTGGCAAAGTGCCCAAATGTACCCTACTTTATTATTTTATTATTTCTAATGCCAGACGATTTTACTCATCAGGGGGAGAGTCCTACCACTCTAACACTTATTCCAAAGGACTGAGGGGTATACAAGATTTAACTCTCGAAACCTGGAGCCAGAATTTGTATCATTCTGAAGTTGTATACAATACCTTTGGAGCGCACCAAAAGTATGAGATTTATCAATTCTGTTTCATCCAATCAAATTTGTCTATCACTGTGAAGTGATCTGCCCATTCAGTTAACCCTTTAAGTGGTAATGTTCCCAGGCCCCAGATGTACCCTACTTTCTTATTTTACTCTTTCTAATACCAGATGATTTTACTCATCACGGGGAGAGTTGTGCCAAAATGGGTTAAATTCAATTATTCTACACCATACATCATTTAACAATTGTGCACACCCTCTTGTTTATCTCCCTTTTGATATATTTCATGCACAAAATGATCATCTGTTTTGGATCAAAACTTGCCGACAATATTAATACTAATAGTACAGTCAATTTGTGACTAGAGGTCAAAGAAATTGGAATAGAATTTTTTTCAGTGGTAAAATGTGAGGGAAAGTGTCCAGATTAACATACTAAAAATAAAAAAAAATCCCTTCTGTGGAACATGGTGAAAATCGAGTTTTGTTTCTTCTACCTATAGAAAACCATTGTGGACAGAATGTTCATGAAATCATTTTTAGGCAAATGTAACCCACATTATTGGAAAGCTTAGAAAAAAACTAAAATATAGATCATTAAACGGTTATAATCAATTTACTGGTCAGTTTGTCGTTATTCTAGCTCAGAGTTGGAAAAATAGTGCAAAATTTGCACAAAATCAAATTTATGGCATTTTAAATCCAGTATAGCTTCGGCTGGATAGGCAAAAGCAAGATAACCGTTTAATGATCTATATTTTAGTTTTTTCTAAGCTTTCCAATAATGTGGGTTACATTTGCCCATTCAAAATTTCAACATTCTGTCCACAATGGTTTTCTATATGTAGAAGTAAGAAAAACTCAATTTTCACCATGTTCCACCGAAGGGATTTTTTAGGATTTTTAGTCTGAAAACAAATCTATTGGGATTACTTTGATCAGGACCATGTACTTACAGTGATTGGACTGGACTATAATACCATATATATTTTGAAACATACTTTTGGAGCCGATTTAATAAATGTTGGAGGTGTTACACCGTCCTCGCCCTCCCACCCCCCCCCCTCCCGCCACACACTTAAATGTCCAGCAATACTTCAAAATGATAAGCTTAGGATTAATGTGCTAAATGTTAACTTTACGTGGCTTTGTATTAGAAAATATGCTTAAAACACTATACAACCATCATTGCGTTTGGGTAATATGATAATTTAATTGTTTAGAAGCTCGATAATATTGTACAAAGTTAAAATAAAATTCATTATTTAAGGATTAGAGACTGATGTGAGTGTTTTGTTTACAAATACATGCACGAGCTGACTGTACAATGAACGAGAAATTTTCAATACTGAACGAGGCGAAGCCGAGTGCAGTATTGAAAATTTCGAGTTCATTGTACAGTCAGCAAGTGCATGTACTTGTAAACAAAACACGAACTTAAAGTCTCTAACCCATTTAATATATTATCTGAGTTCACTGCTTGCATGCAATTATACTGTACGCCTTTTGTAAACAAAACAAAACAAAATTAAAACAAAAAATTAAATTAAAACAAAGCAATTCCAGTTTGGAAAAGAACATTTATTAACACATTTTCATCATAAGTTTTTACCAATAGTCTAATTTTAAGTACATTGCAAAATAATTGCGTACAACTGTTTTTAAAACAAGACAACGAATACAATGAAAAACCCGACTAGACTTTTTAAGCAGGAATTTTACACGCGACAAAATCGTGAAAAGTCAGTTTTTGCTTCGTTTATTTACCTTGAAAGATGACAATGCACCAGTTTGTTTGGCTTTTTATACTTTTAGACACTGCATTATGTACAATTTGATTAATTTCGTCTTCACTGACTCGTGTAAACCTTGAACCGACAGCCTTGCGGGAAGCCATTTTCAATAATGCACGTTTTTTATGCGTAATTGTCAATAATGCACTCGCAGAATTCGTTGTTGCCAGGTAACAAAAACACACGTGATCGATTTTGACCAATGGCGTGCGTGTATTTTGTACAGTGAACGAAGATTATATATTAAACTAGAGTACCTACAAGGTAGGGATTGCTGCGAGCATTAAGAGCATTGCAAATAAAACTAAATAGTCCAAATTATTAAATAATACTACAGTATGAAGCACAGATATTGCTCGATCCAGTGACTGGTCAGCACTGTAGCCCAAGCTTATATATAGGATACGGATTGATTCATGCCATGAGTGTAACTGAGAAAAAGCAATGGATTTATTGCTATAAAGGCCAAGGGTTAAAGGGCAATCACAGGTGCGTCTCATGGAATTCTTGCGTGTTATGAAAGTAATATTCACTAAAGCGTAAGCAAGAATATATAATATTTCCAAGACCATACTGTATATAATATTTAAAGAGTGAGGGGCCATTCACAAAGGATGTCCGAGCCAAGGGGGGGGGGAGGGGGGTTTGGAAGATCAGGGCAAACTCGGACAAAGGGGGGGAGGGGGGTTTTTAGCAATCCGGATGTCCGAAATTTTAAAAAATTCAAAAACAAATTTCTTTTTCCCTCTATTTTGAACAGTCCTTCTCATTGTGAAATTGGCATTTTGACTGTCCGGTTAACACTAGATTTTGTTTTAATTAGTAATTTATATGTTTTTGTATTCACATTTATAGTTATAAAAAAGTTCTAAAAGTAAAAAAAGTTTTTTACTCTTGACATATACAAGGTTGCGTGAGTTTTTGCGAGGCATGGCGGATGTCCGGGGGGAGGGGGGGTCACTAATTCGGACAATGCCAGACAAGGGGGGGAGGGGAGGGTCTGAAAATCCATCATTTGGCCGGACATCCTTTGTGAATGGCCCCTAAACCACCTATTAATCTTTTCACAGGCATGCCCTACCCGGGGTTAATTCGTGAAATCTGGCGTAATGTTCCTGGATCCAAAGTGAGTGATCTGCGTTCTAATGCTTACTACCCCAACGACCCTTCTGACATTCAGATAATCGAGAATTTTGACGCACCTTTTGATCTTGATCGGGATTACGGGTCAAAAGTCAAGGGTTACTTTATACCACCGGAAACTGGACCGTATACATTCTTCTTGGCCGGTAGCAATGCTGCTGAACTGTGGCTCAGTGAAAACGGACAAGAAAGTGGTTTGAAGAAGATTGTATCGTTCTCAAGTGGAAGTTCTCATAATCAATGGAATCGGTAAAGAATGCCTTTTTTGTACTGGATAGCTCTATAGCTATCAGTTCTAAACTGTTCTTCCTAGAGGTCCAGTAAGGATCATCTTTTATTGATCCAGTGTTACTACAGGAGGAAACCTAAACTGAACCAACTTTATTTATACTTGGATAGCTCTATCAGTTCTAAACTGTTCTCCCTAGAGGTCCAGTAAGGATCATCTCTTGTTGATCCAGTGTTACTGCAGGAGGAAACCTGAACTGAACTCACTTTATTTATACTGGACAGTTCTATCAGTTTTAAACTGTTCTTACTGGAGGTTGAGTGAGAGTCGTCTCTTAAAACCTAAACTACAGTTTTAAACTGTTCACCCCAGAGATCCAGTAAGGGACATCTCTTATTGATCCAGTGTTACTATGGGAGTTACTATGGAAAGAAAGTCATTAACTATCAATTTTGATTTTGATTTTACTCTCAATTCAGATCACCTTCCCAGAGTTCCAAACCAGTCGATCTCGAGGCAGGCCGATATTATTTCGTAGTCGCTGTTCAAAAGGGAACAAGCTCAAGTGATAGTCTTTCTGGTGGTGTTAAACTTCCTAGCGGGAGATATATCCGGCCATTGACAAAGGAAACACTACAGTGGAGAAGGCCAGGTACGGGATATATGGATAAAACTATCTTTATCTTCACTGGCTAGCTTTATCGACTTTATCAGTACTAAACTGTTCAGCCTAGAGATCCAGTAAGGATCATCTCTTATTGATCCAATTTTACCACAATAGGAAGCCTAAACTAAACTAACTTTATTTATACTGGATATAGCTCTATCAGTTCTAAACTGTTCTCCTGACAAGCTTAATGGGGGAAGTATAAATACTTAGTCAACCGAGATTCAAGATTCAAATTATTTAAATCTTTGGCATTTTCATTATTGTTAGGTAACCATTACGCTGGTCTTGTCCGTGAAGTATGGAAGGATATGGGTGGATATCAGGTGATAGACCTCACATCGAATCCCAACTTCCCTAATAATCCCTCGAGTGTTGAAGTCATTGATAATTTTGATGCCCCGTACAATGTGGAGGATAATTATGGATCGCGAGTGCGTGGATACTTTGTGGCTCCAGAGACCGGAGATTACAGGTATGAGCATTTCGTCTTAACTACAATTCTCCGATCCGAATTCGTGTTATCGATTTTTATTTTCGTATTTGGAAAAAATATTCATGCTAAAATTAGTTTATATCGAAAATTTCATGTTTGGCGATGCAGGGCGCGAGTTTTTTTAGGAGTCAGTTTTTCTTACCTTTCTTCCTCCCTTCGCTTTTTAAATTTTAAATTCCTTCCTCGCTTTTTTCCCTTGTTTCTACCTCTCTGCCATCCTTCCATGAAATCTTCCATGCTCATTCTCCAATGTTATACCAATCTCTCATGTTTTCTTGCAGGTTCTACCTTGCTGCTGACAGTACAGGAGAGTTGTGGATCAGTTCAGACGACAGTGAAACGAACTTACGTAAAGTCGTCTCCATTACTGGTTGGACAGATCACAACGAATGGTTAAAGTGAGTAAAAGTTTTGATAATTTCAGACCAATTTTGTTCCCTCTAGGCAGTTGTGTGATCTCAATTTCACCTCAGCC